GTACAAAATCTCAAAATGGGTAATAAATGAATGAGTCGTTACTTCTTCACTATTTTGATTTTTAACATTTAACTAATTTATATTAAAGTTTATGCAAGTGTTTAGATAAAATATCCGAATCGAAACAACTAAAATTTCATTATGTTTTTCCATAAGCAAAATATTTATATCTATACATTTGTGTTGACGAAATAATTTTTATTGGTTGGCGTCTGTAGTTAAATATACTAGTAATAAGCTGTAACTGTCTTGCTAGACATAGACGTTTTTCACATAGTTTAATTTGGGGTCACCAGTATTATTTCGCGGCTGTAATTATTGCTTTGACAAAATTCTCTCATTAGCAAATCTGCATATGAATGTTCATATATACTACATATATACTCAAAAGTTTCCCTTAAGTAATGGAATTTAAAAGAAAAAAATGTGAAGATGAAACTATGCTTACAAATCTATTGCACATTTTGGAGTTTTCTTTTGAAATTCGTGACGGAAATGAAGAGTAATTTGTAATAGAAACTAACTTCGAAGCGTAGACCTTGCAGCAACATTGAATTAAATAATAATAAAACGCAAAATTTGATGAGAACATGTAAATTATTTTGGCAATTTTATTTCTTAATTCCATATATTTCTATATTTCTCCAATATAAATAAATATTGTGATTGCTGGACCGCATAGGCACCTTGGTAACATACTTAAATTTATTTTTACTAATCATCATTTTATATTTTTAATCCTGCGTACATGTCTGTGTTTCGAAAGATAGCAAAATAAACAAACGGCTAACTTCTCTTATAAAAAAATAAGATTAACTATAGTTTGGCAAAAAATTATTAAACCAACAATCATCGATTTTGTAAAAAGTTATTTTTAGTCTGTTTGTAAACATATTCTTTAAATAAATGTGTTCTTTTATTTATCACATGTGACCCAGGACCAGCAACCATTTTTTTAAAAGTTAATAATTTTAAATCCATAATCATGTTACCCGAGGGTTGTAGCTATAAAAAAGACGTATAAGTGTGTGATGTGAAAATATATATCATTTAACTTTATATATTTCTTATTGTAGTAAGAGAAATTCAAAAAATCCTCAAAACTTGTATTTGAGTACAATTTCATGCAATAAAATAAACAATTATAATTTCCGACAAATTTCTAACCGTGGTTTGTATCCCCTTGTATAAATAAATTAAAATAATTAATAATTAAAATTGAAGTAAAGTAATGATTGTAATAACATTTCCTTCCTTTCATTTCGCAAGTTAAATATTTACAAAAAGTGTGATATCTTTAATATTTTTTTTATTAATTTTCTCTATATATACACCTTTGCAAAACGAAGAACTTTAAATAAACTATGATGTTAAAAGTTCTTTATATGTAAATAGGAAAAAACAGGTATTTTTTCTTCTTTTTAAATTAAGCGTTATTAATGATAATTTTTTTTTGGGTTAATTGTATAATAGCAATAATAATTGTAATAATAAAAACAATATTATTATAAACTGTAACACTTTGTTTTGCAAATGAACTTCATGACCAACAAGCAAGTATCTGCCTGCCACTCACTCGTCCAAATCTGCACATATACATACGTATATATATAGCACGAAAGCCTTTTTAATGCCTAAATTCTAAGTTAGAGAATAAGAAATGCAACTACGCTCTTTTCCGCGACGATGAAGAAGTTTTTTGGATGTTTAATGGGAAAAATAATAGCACATATACCCAAGTAAATCTATAAAAGCATATACCGCCAATTTTATTACTAGTGCGGTTGCAATGCTACCGAACTTATGGCGCTGGCGCTTTTGTTGATGGTGGGTGTGGTGTTACTAAGTGTGGTAGTAGTATTAACATAAGCCATTGAGGCATTGTCGGTTATAGTCACACTATCGCTGCATCCACTAGTATTAGTTGTAGTTGTAGTAGACGCAGACGTTGTGGTGGTGGTATTCGCACTTTTCAGCTTCTTAAGACCCGATTGTATATAACGAAACAAATCATACATGGAGGTGTGTAGCGTAAGAGGTCCATTTTCACGATCCAATGCTATAAAGAAGTCTGTAAACATAAGAAATTTAAAATTATTAAAAATGGCTACTACAAAACCTATATCTTTAATGACGATGGACACTACTTACCTGTATGGTTTCCTTGCCGTACAAGTCGATCCGCTTGATCCCATAAATCGTGACAATTAGCCAAGTAATTAAAGTACAAATTTTGGTGATTTAATGTGATCTGAATATCTTGGCGCATACCCCGTCCKGGCGGTGTATTCGAACCAGAGCCCTGGAAAGCAAAGTAAAATAAAATTATTATTTTCAAATTTTCGCTGTTTAATTGAATTACCTGTGAACAAACTGAGTTCGATGGCGAGTTAGATGAAGGTGTATTACCATTTAGAACCTCCATCCGACCACTCTTTAAAAAATCTGCGCAATGGTTGATGATATTCCGACAATAGTTTCGTTTTAATTTATATAGTTTTAGCGAGATTAGAGATTGGCAGCGTAAACTAAAGCAAACAAGTAAAACTTTTTAAATAAAAAAAAAAACACTGTCATTAATTGTATATATGTACCTTAAGATAGCAACTTTGTTGTGCGGCTCATGGAGTTCATTAGATGTAGATGAAACTTGCAAATGCTTAATCTTCGATGAAATAAACCTGAATAAAAAGGTAAAATTAATATATAAGATATCATAGTGTTACTAGAAAAGTCTCGATAACATTATATTTAGTTTATGTTTAGAAATTGCACACTTTACTCACTTAATTAAATTTAGTGTATCCTTGTACATAACCCAACTGGCGTCCTCCGAATTACGATGCAATTCTAATACCGCTCCAGATAGAATAAAATATATAACAGCCTCCAAATACAGAGTTACTTGGTTGAATAGATTTTGTTCCTTATCGGCCGCGTGCTTTCTCTTAACTGCTTCCTGTAGGAATTTCGAATTTTTCCTAAAAACAAATATAAGTGATATTTTATTTATATTTAT